TCTAAATAGAATATTTTTTTTCTAGTATTTAAAAAATGTTGATTACTTAAAAAAATTAAGACTTTAATTTTTAATCGACTTCAAATATTAAAGTTATTGTCCTTCCAACAAAATGAGCTAATTATATAATATCTTTCTGGAATAGAAGATCTTATCGAATAACTTAAATAATGAAAACGCACGTCAATATATGAATTTGCGACTGCCTTGATTAATTTTACTGGATGGTTTTCTGTTGCTGTTGGTAATTGATCAAATCGATGAATGGCAAGACAAATTAAAATATTACTGCTGACAAAATATGGTAAGATCTTATTAATCAGAAGAAGTTTACTTAATGACGGCCTCGTGTACAATTTTTGTGATTTATTTATTATTTTTTGGATTTCTAACTCTGTTACTCTGCATATTTGTGTAGCATTTTAGGTGGGATAAACTTGACCACCCTCGTCCTCGAAAGCAACGAACTCATAGTACGACCAACTCGAGGTTTTTGTAAAGACACTGTTAATTCTTTGCATTATACATATTTTTGTATTACTCGTACTACATATCCGGCGATGTATTGTATGTAATTCTTTGCACACTATATTCGGACATTCGAGACAACATGCTGTAAAATTATCGAAGTTACAGATACTACTGATAAAAGATACTACAAAACCGAAAAACAAACCGAAACGTTACTAAACGTTATAACAAAAGCGTTATAGAATATTTATATAATATTGCTAAGGTCATAACAATTTTCGTCCCTTTGTTTTCAAAATCGATCAGAATCGCGAACATTGTTGCCTAACGTATACATGACTAAATGTTAAATTTGGCCAAAGAAATGTACAAGCGGCCGTACCACGAAAGTGAATGCATTATACCCTTGCATGAAAGTATGTCCCAGCAAACTTGTAAGTCCAAACTGAAAAAAATATTTTTAACTGCTCAAAAGGAAGATGCTGTATCACCCCAGGATCATCAAATTATGTTGTAAATTTTAGACGTACCTATTTTGTAAGTTTTTGTTTAGGATAACTGTTCTTTCTTTTTATTCCACTTTTTACCATCTAAGCAAATTTAAACTTGACAATCGCCATCGGTATTTATTGTGTAAATTATTATTATTATTTTATTTTTATTTTCTTTTCTACTTGCGCGCTCCTCAAATAGCTTAATTCAAGGTCTGTACTAATTTTGTTCCATAAATTGCGTGAAAAACACAAACGTGAGACTGTAGCTTCAGCCAGGAAGGTTCTGGCTGAAAATCAGTGCTGTGTAAACTAAGTTGTACGGCATATACTGAGCTCAGAATCCTCGCCACACATCTGTAACCATAGATACAGTTTTGTGTTTTTAGTTACTATTTATATGTTAGATTTTTCATTTTTTATTTTGCGTGTGGCAAATAAATCACAAATATAGCGTATATAAAATGTATTACAAATCATAAGGCATACACTCGGTTGCATGTTTGTTTTCTCGAAATTCATATAAAATCAAAATAATTGTTTTTAAAATGAATTATGCATCTTCTGATTACAAAATCACTTGCCCGTGGAAGGAAACGTCCCTCTGTACCCGTTTACCCACACTTATGGTGCTTTTGCAGATTATAATGGCACAATTAGGCATTTTTCGCGTTTTCGACGGGTGTTTTTCTACGATAACGGTCGAGCGCGTTCTGAAGTGTAGCAGCGGCAACTAAGTGAATTTCACTTACTTTGGGCAAGCGAAGTACGTACAATTGCGGCGTCTATCTAGATATACGTCTGTGGGGCCGACCGCTGATGGTAGGCTGGCCCGTGGAGGAGGGCGTTCCGCGTGGACTCGTCCGGTCAGCGAGACCGCGCGGATGCGCGCTGGGGGGAGCGTCGCGGGGGAGAGACGTGTCGGTGTGTCGTTGCCGCTCGTCATGTCCTCTTTCACAAGGAGCTCCACTACTACTGAAACCTATGTCACGTTGCATCCACATTGTTACAAAATGCATTAATCTGAAACTGTTTTGGGTTTTTGTGTAGCGAAAGGCGGTTTCACAATCCTCTTAAGCACAGATTTCCATATACAACGAGGATAAACCTTCAAAGGTGCTGACACAATCACAAATAGAATAGAATTTCACAGTAAACAATCGCGTTTACGGCAAACGACTTCTTACAAGATTCGCAGTCAACTACCTAATGCACACCGCTCTGGCTTGTAGTTGGTTCAACAGGTGTCCAGTGAGGCAATGCTACTAGTACAATGGAAACTTTTAAGCCAGACACGATACAGGGCGGGATTTTTTTGATTAGAAATTTTTGACGAAATCTCTGGTAAATGCCTGAAGGTTTTAGTGTTTTAGTACCTATTGACTGTTTTTATTTTACTACCTTATGTATCAACTCATAGACGTTTAACTGCCGGGCACCGCTTTTTTCTGAGGTCAGTCCGCCATATTGGTATAGGATCCTCAAAACACCGTGATTTAATACATTTTTCACCGTTCAACCAAACACAAGTGACAATTAAACAGAACTTCACACAGGATCTGACGCGGAACTCCTGAGAACATTAAGGATGAGAGGGAGCACCTACGAGATCCTAAAGCTGCAAACTGGACGACTAGCGTAGAAAAACCGCTTTTAGAAAGAAAGCCTTTCTGAGCCAGTGAGGCGAAAAATATTTATTAAATATTGTTCAAACAACCCTTGAACATTCCACTCAGCAGGCGAACGACCCAAATATAGAAGAAAGTACTTCACCAGCACTAAACTATTATGGGTATATGAATATATTTGCTGTTCCATAATGGTGGTCTTTCTAAAACTGCTGAAATTATTTCTTACAACGACATCTCAACTGGATTGATCAAAATGTAAATGTAGGTAAACAACAGGACAACACTACGATTGTTCTAACACGCACGCATCGCGCGAATGGAGCGCGACCCTCGTGTCCCGCCGTCCGCGCCGCTGCCGTCGCGAACAGCATGAACAGCACAATGGAAACCTAGGCATTTTGATCAAGTCACGCGAGTCGCCCGCGTCTATACCATCTAATGCACCCAGGTTATTTAAGTTTCGTCGTGGTGAATGTTCACCGATCCCACGGCGCCGACTCAACCGGCGAGAGGGAATTTTAGTGGGGTAGGCCCTCCAGTCTGGAGGGCCTACCTCATTTATTTAAGTTTACTAAAAGTGTGATTAATGCGCCTAGGTGTACTAATTCAAGTGAATTAAGTCAACGCAGCCTCTATGCCGCCACCGCGCCGTCAAACGCTGTCATCCAGTTTGCATCTTTAGGACGATAGCGGACATGATGGATGCAGCGGTCTTCCGAAGGTTCACTGAGTTGTACGTTCCACGTACGCGTCAGTGAGCCCCATGAAGGGCTGGGTATTGCCTGTCTGTTTTATATACATTAATCAGAGTGGATTTAATGGATCTGTTTACTTTCCGTGGTACCTCGGTCTTTTGAAGGTATCATAATTATAGTTTCTAATGATGGAGAACGAATTCCTTGACTCAACTTTTGTAAATTTTTATTTTTAATTCTCATCAAAGTAAATAATGAAAACTAAAATTATATGGCCATTAAAACTACCTCTGGTATGGGCAACATGGTGTGACCACAATTTACTCAACGGGACGAAACGAGGTGTTTGGTCAAGTAAGAAATGAAATAAATTATTTTTTCCGTGTTACGGACGCTTGGTCACACCTGATGTCATTCGACGATGTATCCGATAATATTACACGTTTCTTTAGTATATCCCTTTTTCCTTCTTGCCTTGAATAGCCCTAAAGTGTAGCTATCACGAAACAGCAGAATTAAACAAGATTTTATATTCCATATGCACAAAGACACACGTAACAGCTGGTTCTTGGTTATTGTTTGTTTCCTTTATTTATTATCACATTTAAAAGCACTAAAACAGAAACCGCTCATTTTTCTTTAGTGTGTGCATTCGGACTGCTACGTGTTGATTCCTTCGTAGTGTGTGTACTAAACCTATATCAAACTCTTGTATGCATATCCCACCGCTGAACACGAATCTCTACTAATAATCGTTATAAAGGGTCGGGTACAGTATTGTAATATTAAATTTGGAGTTGACGTTTTAACCGACTTCAAAAAAAGGAGGAGGTTCTCAATTCGACTGTGTTTTTTTGTATATATGTTACGCGATAACTCTGGTATTTGTGAACCGATTTTCATGATTCTCTTTTTTGTTGGAAAGAGGGTATCTCCATAGTGGTCTCATTTAATTTTGAAGAAAATCATCCACCTCTAAAGGTGGCTGTTCACGCATGAAAATTAATTTTTATAAATAGCGCCTAAATTTTATTATAAGGAGCGATTATTTTAATGGTTGATTTTGCTATTCTCCAATTCAAGGCGTTTTTCTCTCAATATACTTTGTGTAGTGAGAACCAATTTTTATTATATTTTAGTGGCGAACTAGGGAATGAATCCGGGTTTGCGCACTTTCCGGTAACCGATTTCAATAAAATTTGGTAATTATATGTAATTCCACGTACTTTTGAGGTCGGTTTTTTTTAGTACTCTATACTGAGATTATTATAATTAAAACTGTTTTGTAATAATTTATAAGTTGTTTACTTCACATCATATTTTTTTAATTTTTTATGGTTCCATCACTATTGGAACTGATGATTCCGCCAATGTCACGGTCGGAAAAACATTAAGTTCTATTGTGAAATTAACCGGTGGTAACAATGACATCTATGTACTGGCGTGGTGGTGATGGGTTAATTTTTTTCCATCCTCTATGTTTAATTCGCAGAAACACTCAAATAAGCAGAAGTATAATATCATTGCAAATAAGAATTTAAAAGAAAAGAGCACAAACAACCTTTTTTGCTTCTGCTAAGCCACAACAAATGTCAACCGAGCATGATGACATAATCATAGATTTCTAAATATTGTAATGTCTTTTACCAACAAAATGGAAGGAAATTTCTAAAGAGCGTTTTTTCAATACTTTCACTTCAATACTTCCCAAATGGATTAGATATATAAGAAAATTGGGCTCAACCATGGCCATATTTATTTAATCCTTAACCCAAGTTGTACAACTTGAACTACATAAGTCAAGTACTGTACTTTATTAAATTTAATTAACAAAGATGGATGAAAGACCTTCAAGTACTAAAGTTAAAAAACGCACCTCTCGCGCTGAAACAAGGGAGAACATGTTGCCGGATGATATAAGCAGCTCAGGTAAAACTTACATTTTAATTATTACTCAATCTAGTACTGACATAAGTGCCTCCGTGGTCGAATAGTTACCATGCTGGTCTGTCACGCAGAAATCCCGGGTTCGATTCCCAGGCCGGGAGAAATATTTGTTATGGCCTACATTTATTTCCCTCAATAGTTTGGATGTAATTAGTGGTTGTCTATGTGTGTGTCCATGGCATCTGCGACACAGGGTTTCGGTGTGGGTTTATGAGTATGTGCGTTATCTTCTTTTTTTATTAATAAAGCATTTACATTGTTAGAAAATCTGCCTATCGGAGTAGGCACCAATACCTTATTTAGCTTTGCCTTCATCTTGGATGGCTTTACTTTATTTATTTACCTATTTATTGCAAACAATGTTACTACAGGCATTACAAAGGTAATTACTAAGTAAAAATGCACCCGCTGGGGTTTAGCACATAATTAGTTCTCTCTAATAACTAACACAATCAAACGTACACTTTAATGTACTTAAAATAGACTCAAAATTAACAAGAAACTGTATTGTTACATTATGGAAGAGTTAAAGAGTTTACCAGCACTTTCACATCATCTTATAGGAGAGGCCATGAAGTCTCTCACGGTATAGTAGGACCCATTTATCAAGAAATACTTTAATTCGGTTTTGAATATGTTGTCATTGTCTTCTTTCTTAAGTAAGTCTGGTATTTTATTATACATTAATACACATCTATAAAGCGGGCTTTTAAAGAAAGCTCGACGACAGAAGAGATATATTTAATGTCGGAATCGGTAGTAAGTACTAGTTTTGTTTTTTGTTTTTTTTGGGTGTATTTGGCTAGTGTCCCACTGAGAACAATTCTGCCAGTGTCCGGGTTGAAAGATACACGGTATATTTATCGCGATTAGCAGGAACGCACTCAAATGACGATGATCGGTTGCACTATCCTACGGACAAAGACAAAGCACGAGGGTATTTGACTAACTGCTTTGGATGAAAAGCGTAAACACATGCTGTGCACATAGTAAATGTTACAAACGTATGTTATTTTGTTCAATATATTTAAATAGAATAAATATTAGAGGAGGTTTTAAGGGAAAAAGCATACTATACAAAAAAATGTGGAACGAGGGATACAATCTATAAGAAGATCGTATAAAGAGACGGGATACAATGAACAGTTAAAAAATATATATGGTCAAGAGTTCCTTTTTTAAGACCGCACTCACAAAGGGAGTGATCCCTTATCCTGAGCTTAGCAAGAATACTAGTTTTGTGTTTTGACGTGCACTGTTAGCAATTCAAAAAGATCTAAATGTTGCGTATGTAAATAAATGGAAGAGTGATTACACATGGCAACTTTTCAGCGACAGTCGCGCGTTTGCATCGATGCAATGGCCTATAATTTGCAAGAGTAGCGGTCACAATCGGGAGTTTGTATTGATGCAGTAGCGCGCTTGCATCGCGTTTGCATCGCTGCTTAAAATCGAGCGCGTGTGTAAAAGTAGACGATTAGCGACTGCATCGCTGATATAAGTCGCTGTGTAACCGCTCGAAGAGTTAAAATTTTCGCGGCGATATAAACAAGGTACTATACTCATTCTATTATTAAAATCGATTCCCTCAATCAGCTGAATCCAGTGTAGGTACTCACTCAACACTCCTACAGTGCCTCCACAAACACATTACATTGTCTTCTGTAGTTATTTTACATCCTCTGTGTTTTGTTAAAATTAATGTGGATACATATGCATTTACAGAGAGCATACATTCACGAAAAAGGAGAGATCAAAAGTCCCTACCGGCACTAAGTGCCGGCATTTCAGCAACACAAATGATCAAAAACATGGCTGAACAGCTGGGCAAGGATGCTAAAAAATTACAAGCAGAAACCAAAAACATGATAGCCCAAGCGAAAAATAGTTTCAACAGTTTGAGCCACATTACAAAATTTCGAAAATCCCCTCAAAATCAAAACAGTCCTAATGATGACAGGTGATCATGTCTGATTTACAATAAGTAGTCATCGTAATGGCGGTTACATTAACTGTTATAATAACCTACTTGATCGCTGAATACATGCCTAACTTCAAAAGACAAAAGCAATGTAATAAACAATTTACAATTGCGTTGCCTGCGGAAAAAGCTTTGTTTATAAGGCGGAGCGATGAAGACGTTGGCCATACTGTAGAAAATAAGACGAACTCAATTACAAAAGGTAGAGTTTTATCCACCGACAATGCCATGATAATACGACTGAATGAAGCGGATGTTATCCCCTTTACTCCTGCAAAGGACGCGAAGCCATATACACAAGGTACTGTTTTATCCACCGAAAATGCCTTAATAATACAACTGAATGAAGCCGACGTTAGTCACGTTACTTCTGCAGCGAATGCGAATGCGATTATAAGAGGTACAGTTTTGCCAGCGAAAAATTTCTTGATTATAAGATCTAGTGATGTAGGCACTAGCAACGGTACTATAGATGAGAAAACGAAGCCAGTTGCAATCGACATAGCAAAGAAACCAACGGTGTGGACGTTTTTAAAAAGGCGAAGGTTATTCAAGAATAAGAATTTGCGTAATTTTGTTCTAAATCGTTTGTTGAAGGATGGGAACAGACAGTTAGGCGAGAATAATGAGAACTAAAATTAACGTGAACGTTGGGTGTTACCTCAAGTCAAGAGTCAAGAATAACTCTTTTATTATACTGCAATATATTTTCTTTACGTAAATCCAATCATTTAAAAATCTATTACTTATTACCTGTTTTTTTATTTATTTAATTTTAATTCGGGACTTAATCATGTATAAAACACATTTTAATTACCTCTACATTTCAAGTTATATGTCCGTGAGCGTAGTTGACGCCATCGATAATCTTTTGCTGTTTTATGATGTCAAGTGACGAGACAAACCAGTCGTGCGCATGGTGGTAAGTGACACGACTTTCCATGCCAGTTGCAGTACTACCTCAGACTTTTAAATCGCAAAGATCTGATGGGTACCGACACTGTCCTCGACACCATAAGAACAAAGTCCCATGTGCTTGTTCACCAGCACATATACCGTTCAAAACCGGAACGCAGTATTGATCACATTACTGCTTGGCGACAGAAATAGGTAAGGTAGCAGTACTTCTCTGGGCGAACACTTTCACAAGGCGCTCTAGCTACTGCTGCTGTTGTGTTCTTACGGTATTACTAGCTTGCTGTTAGTAGTCTTCAACAATTCGTACCCTTGGTACGGAAGGGTACGACTCTTGGTGTAATAATACCACGAAATTTACATTTATATACGTAGACATTTTTTATGCTTAAATAGGAAAGCTTGTATGTTATTATGTAGTTCTGCCATTTTATCTATTTCATTAATATGAGCATTACTCCGTTCGGGTTTTAGAAGGTAAGGGTACTAGTGAAATTACAGGCACATGGGACTTGTCAATTTATGTCTCAGAGTAACAGGCGCCAGTGATCCACAGATCTGCTGTTGAAGCTTTGAATGGCACTCCAAACGTTGTAGGTAGGCCGGATGCTCACCACCAGGCGCACGACTTATTCGGGTACGAATTGATTGTTGTTAGCTATCTTACTTGCATTGTGAAACGTTCTGAAAACAGCAGTAAGTACAGTCGTATCACAAGATACCTGACCCCCCCAAGCCGACTTTGTCGACCTTTTGGTTCTGAGCACAAAAATGTGGAGAAAATTGTTAACCAAACTTAATCTTCAACCTGTGAGCCGTAGAATTTCTTTTGGTATGGTCTCATTAGTGAATGACATTTTAACAAAGTTTTTAAGCGAATTTGATGTTTAATGTATGGTTCTTACTTAAATACAGAACACAAATTTCAACCAGCTTTAATAACGCCGTCGTGGCCAAACGGTAGTAAGGATTGCTTTGCAAATTGAAGCAAGCATGGTTGTTCGAGTCAAGTGTGGTTCGAATCACACTTTAAAACTAAAATATTCTTTAGCTATGACTATATAATATTGTTTTTTGTTTTTAACGTATGGATAGGTGTAAGGAATGTTTAAGTCTTGTTCATACAGAACAATAATTTCTAATTTTAATAATTCCGTCAAGTGCGGCATATTAAAACAAGAAAGAAAACTTTGAAAGTCACTAAAACCTTGAAAGTAATTAAAACTGAATAGACAAATAGGAACGAAACGTGGAACGATGCGTAATCACAGAAATCACGATCGTATGCAAACTGCAGAGCGATTTCGTGATTTGTTAATCTGTCCATATCCACCCTGCGCTTTATTAATAATATCTACCCACCCACCTTAGGCAATTTCTAGTGAACAAACATTGTGATTTGTCAACGTTAACACTAAAAAGTGAAACAATGCTGTTAAAAATATAATGCTAAAACAAAACAGTGCTCGTGGAATCGAACCACGGGTATTGTAACTGGCAACAGATACAACAAGCCGCTCGTCCAATTTACTTGGAAGTTAAATGACGAAATTTATTATTGGTTTTAAAGATACGTTGATCAACGTATCTTTAAATTCATTCTTGTATTGCTTACACAATAAAGTTGAAATTGCTTTAATATTTTCTTTGTTCAATACGTAAGAAGGCTTTCAGAACCAAAAGGTCGGTTTGGGCATGTTAGGGGTTCAGGTATCTCATGTATATGACTGTACAACTTTTGACCCTGCTAGAAAGAGATTCCTAAATTAAAATTAATAATAGAAAGTTGGTAAAATGAAATTCGCGAAAATCTGTTGGAAATTGGAGGTAAAGAGAACGTAGAAATAAAGATAGCGAAATACATATAAAATTAGGAGAAGATAAGACGTCGACAATTGATCGGGAAGACATAATAATGAATTAAGGCGGAAGTATTTCAACGCGAGCCTACATTTTAGGAGGTGAAGTGTTCGGGGACCGCCCCTCGCGTTCCGCAACTCTCGCGCTGACAATTAATGTGAATAAAATAAGAACAGGCGAAGAAAATTTGACGCAGATCCGTCGTCGACAAGCGCCCGTTGGCGACTGACGGGGCAGCATGTGAATTTAATAGGTATATAAATAACTATATATATAAATATTAAGACGTTAGTAAAGATATTCTCACAAGTATAACCTATCAGACATTAAGGTAAAATTAAAATAGGGTCCATGTATTACAAGAAACTGTAACTTAACCCGTACATGGGTTATTAACAGGGCCGTATTTAAAGTTTGTACTCTCCTTGGCCATAATAGTTGTTACGGTCGTTTGAGAACGGGGTTGGTGGATCGACATCATTTATAGAAAACAATTTGAGAAACAAAATGATTGTACATTTATTACGTGAATTTAATGTAAATCAATCAGTTGACTGAACTACTTAATGAGATTTTTTCTCGTTTGTTCAGTTGAAAATGAAACAAGGTTTTGCCCCTGGTTTAGTAGAGATTTTTTATTTCCTCTATTCCCTCTAGTTCAATTGTCCATCCTCTCCTATACTAGTTCTGTTGTCCAGTCCAGTTAGTTGATTGAACTATAAAGAATTTCTATCTTGTTTGCACAGTTCAAAATAAAAAAAAGCTTTTGTGTTCCCACATCCCAGTCTCAATTTTTAATTTTTTTTTTTTGTTAAGTTTCAACTAGATGTCACCCATTTCTGTCGGTCGGATTAACTCGGAATTTGGCATACTTATGTTATGCTCGGTGACCATAAATGAAGACCAAAATTTCATCAGTTTAGTCAACTGAACAAATGGGAAAAAGAGGCTCGCTAGTTCTATCAACTGAACAAACGAGAAAAAATCTTGTTAGTTCAGTCAACTCAACTGGACAATTGAACTAGTGGGAATAGACCAATTAAATAAGCACAACGAGGTATTGGAAATAAGTTATCGACCGTAGACTGGCGTCGCATTTGAAGCCTGCACGAAACGTTTTCGTCGCGGGCCCCTAAAAAGTACTTTTATTTAGACGGCTTTGATATTTGAATATAGTTTTCATTTATTCATTACGAAACTTGTACGTAAATATAAAACATAATTTTACGTTACTATTTATAATGGTTGTGAATTGTGTTGTGTACGGCTGTTTATCATTATTTTCCGAAAGATGAGACAGAAGCCAAAACAACACAAAAAAAAAAACAAAGTAAGTAAAAAAAACTTATGCCTGAGACTCATTCAGTTATTAATTATTAATATTTGTATTATTGTTTAGTAATTGTGTATGTATAAAAAATACAGATTTATTATATCAATATAATGACACGCCATGATTTCGCGAATTTTCTATTCGTATTGCCGATAAATATTACGTAGGTAGTGAATATATCTAATTATAACTTATATTGGACAAGCAATTTCACATACCTTGGTTACCTTACTTAAAAGAACATGTCCGAAATATAATATTTTAGGTGCTTTTAATATATTTTCGAAATAAATCTTCAATATTACTCTAGTTAGTGAATTAATGAAAAATATAATAATATATCTCGATATAAATACCTAATAGACATGTATAATTATTAGGATTCTATTAATAGAATCATACATAACAGATTCGCGTTAGAATTTTCGCTATGTTGCCGTTTTTACCACGTGCAATAATAGTACGTGAGAGTGATGAGTAACCCTGCCACTTCACGCAACATTTGCGCGTGTGCAGATAGCGCATTGCTGTATGTAGTAGTAGTAGGTAAATAATTTTCGACTGTTGTGTGGAGTGTCTGTGTCAGTGAACAGATCTGTTTTGAAAATAAAACTATGTTTTTTTTAACAAATCTATATAATTTTTCATTGGATTTAAGTTTTTTTATGTATGTATTCCTAGCATTGGATATTGGATAAACCCGTGTATACTGTGGCTCTTTTATCTTAGTGCTTAAAGAAAAGAAGCACGTACAATATTGTGGCAAGCACCTGCTATCTAGACGAGATTTAATGATAATTGAACAAAAAATAATGTTTTCCTTTAGTTTTACAGCTTTCAAGCTGTATCTGCCGGCTAACTACGTAAAGGGAAAGACAATACGATGACATTGACATTCTGTCTCTTCGATGGACAGCTCAATATCTTTTTACATAAGTTTTCTTTATAGTGAACCTCCCATCAACCTCTTAGTTGTACGGGAAGGGCACTATAACCTGTGCAAGCAAGCCCGCATAAGGACCTTCTCAGTCAGGCCCAGATCAGCCTGCTTACACGAATTTCGTCCGGTTCTCAAAAGCTAGTGCCTTGGATGAGGTGCTCCGAGTGCATGTACAACATCTTCCCTATTTTCCAGATAGGTACCGGAGCTGTAGGCACGCTAACTTCTCGTTGCGCATAGCGCTTAAAGGTTGGTACCGATAAGCCGTCGACTCCAAAGTCCACTATCCAATCTCCACTTTGGTGGCGGAGCTGTAGACACGTTCACCTCCCGACGCCGAAGCGTCTGTCCAGTTCACAGAAACATACACGCCTGGAGGGACCGGAGGATATCTAGCTCCGGGCTGGTGCTGGAGACACCGCTCGCATTGTCTTGCGACAATGTCCGGACACAGCTCCGACGTAAAGGGCAACTCAGGCGTCCCGTGCGTCCCCTCGCCTTAGGCCGTCATCTAGTCTGCTAAGACGCGCTAGCTGCGCTAGGAATGAATGCCCCGAACACATGCTACCGGGCCATACGAACGTGTTCATCCCTACAGCTAACTACAAACTTCTGCGAGTCCATATCCCAGTTTGGGTCCACCGGAGACGCCCGTGAAGGCATATCACTGGTGGAGGGT